GAGCCCGATGTGGGACTCGATCCCGGGACTCCAGGATCATGACCTGAGCCGAAGGCAGTCGCTTAACCAACTGAGCCACCCAGGCGCCCTCAGCCAGACCTATGTTTGAACTAATTTTCCCATCACTGTGTAATTTTCATTAGTAATTCAATACAAGTGTTGCCTAGTACTGCCCCAGGATATAGGAAGGACCCAAACACATACACAAAAAGTAGAGGTCACAGTTTCTACTCCTGAGGAATCCACGCTTCATTTCCACTTCTCAACTGTTGTAGACTTACTCTTACTACACCCTCTTCTTAACCAAGCAAGCTTTTGTAAGTGAGGTATCTTGCCAAAGATCAGGGTTATTGTTTTACACTGGAATGTAACCCATATCAGCGACCACAGTGAGACAGCCGACCAGGCATCCTCTTGCAGGGATGGGAAGCAAGGGAAATTAAGGCTGTTGGATGGAGGGTGGTGTGTGTGTGTGTGTGTGTCTGCCCACGCAAGCACAATACAGGAAGCACATTCCTTTGTGCTGAGATCATCAACTCTCAGAGATATCCACTCGACACTGGAAATCCCCTGTTCTATTCCTTCATTTAAATTCATAGTTTAAGAAGAGAATGTCCACTGTAAGGCGAACACCTCATTCTGCATGCTACCATTGCTGAAGAAGTCTGGTAGTTCTTGCTGCTTTCTCCTGTTTTTCTACAAAACTACCAGACTTCTCCAGCAATAGAATTACTGGGAAGAGTTCCCTTCCTACCTGTTTCCAAGGGCTTCCCAGCAATGGGGAAGTGCTTAGCAGGGGTTCTTCCTCCAAACATATTTCCAGCATTCCCATTATTCAGAGCAGGAACAATATTCTTCCATTCTGATTTTTGGTTGGCAGCTGATAGCAGCACTGAATACTTATTTACTAAATTCAGCAAAACCTTCTGTGTTCACTAATGAGAGGGGTTCTCATACTGCCTCAGTGGCCAGAACTCCAAGGGGTGACAGCTGCAAGGCCATAAGGCTATGTGTTCATGATGAACTTTGATCGTCAGTTACTTTAAAGGCAATTTTCTCTGACTCACTAAGGATTTGGTACATGAGAAGATAAATTGGCTCTTGGTATACAAATTTAGAATGGGTGCAGTTTTCTGAGGATTATACTAAAGATCTATGGGATTAAGTTTCTAGTGCAAAGATCCATCTTGCTAGAACACTGTCCAAATGAAGTCATCACTTTCCTGAAAAATTCTGCTTTGTCTGTCTTTAGAAACAATGTTTCATGGTTTGGCTACTTAAATAGAAAAGTTAAGGACTTTTAAAAACAGAAAAACTAGACTATGGAGGTTTTATTTATTGTTACATTTATTCAACATTCAGATTTAACCTACAGACTTTGGTTATATGATACATACTTGCCACATCTCAGACTAAGTAGTTTTCAAAGGAAAACTTAACATCTTGTCCACCAAACTTGCTCTTGTTCCTGATTTCTCTATTTCCATCATGTCTTCCAGCCACCTACATTCAAGCCACAGTCCTCCACAAATCCTTCCCCTTGATCCATCCTATTTCTGATTATTTTCCCAATCTGGTAGATCCTACCACTCCTGTCTCTCACATGGAATATAAGCATGATTATATAACCTAAGTTACACCCCACTCTAATCCATTCTATAAAAAAAATTTTAATAACCCTGCTTTCATCATGTAGCAGCAATTATAATATTTTTGTTCTCATGAGGTTCATCAGAAGCCACTGTAGACATTCCCACAAAGATATCGCACAATACAACTAGCCAACCAAACAAAACGCGGTCTCCTGGATCTCCCTGTAGTTTGATAATAAAGAAAAGGGTGATTAAGCCAAAATTTCCCCCCCCTCAGAGCCATCATCTTTCTTAGACTTTTTGGATAAATGTGGCCCAGCTGTCTCACTGACCTTCCAGGACACTGGTACTTCCCGCTTCCAAATGCCATGAACCAGTCCAAGAAAGCATGCTTCTCTAAGTTTGCCTTTTTCCAACGTTCCTGTGGGAAGAAAGCATTTTTTTTTTTCCAAATCAGCCTTATATAAATAAGCTTAACTTTATTTCTCTAGGCTAAAAATGACTTTGTACAGCTAATCCTTGCATATAAAGTTGCAGGGCTGTTGGTAATTTTTTCCCAACCTGTTATTAATATCAGACACAATTGTGTTTTTGGAATGTGAACCAATAAATAGAAAAGGTTTAAAAAGAATTCCGTTAAGTGGTAAATGTAAATGATAATGTAAATCAACCACGGAATTGACCTCAGAAAAGGAAGACTATTTATAATAAGGTCTCAGGCTCCATCACAGAATTGCCCTTGGTAATAAATTCAGTCAGTTACTGGCAGTCCTGCTTACTGGAGGGAACTTGGGATGTGGAATGAATACATTTGGATGCCATTTTTTAAAAAGTTTACCTAAAGGCAGAGAATGGACTAAATGAACTCTTAAGATTCTGCTCAGCCCCATAACTCCTCAATTTTAAGATACAGCAAAGTAGTTTTAATTTGCCTTGTTCTTCTTTTGTTATACTCCTTGGAAACCAATAACAAAACCAATTTGCCTGACAAATATAAAATAAGTCTTCTGTCAGAACCAGACATATTTACTTTCATGTACTTTGCTGGTTTCAGGTCATTTATTTTAAAGTTGGTGAATCTAATTCAAAAACTTTTCTATCTCATTTGTGTTATACCATCCATATTACAAGTCTAAATTTTTCCTTTGTAGTCAACTTGGTTGTTAGTTACCAGAGAATAGGGATGCTTAATGATAGAGGGATAGTTAATCTATGAATTCATACTCCTGGTTTAAAAGAAATTAAAATCAAAGGACAATGTATATTGAAAGAGATAACTTACAGGTTTGAACAATTCAGGTTCAGGAAAATATTTTGGATTTCTATGCAGCCAAAATGGAGACAACATCAACAAGTCACCAGAAGGAACAGTGTAATTCTATGATAGAAAAATCAGTTTCAAGTCATTTTTTTGAAATCTACTTTCAGGAGAGTTTGGGTCATTAAAAATAATGCTCCAACTATATTGTAGGGAAGACACATACATTTTATAATCAATGGTGAGAAAATCTAACCCCTTCCTGGAAGGATCATTTCTATTTTCCAGCTTAGGCGATGGCTATGTTCTAATTCTGATGATTAGTTACATGTGCCTATAAATTTGGTTACACGGGAAAAATATTAGATAAATGAGATAAATGAGAACATTTTAGAAACTAGTATATGTCTGCTGTGATGCAGCTTTTGATATTCGATACTGGGGTTTGCAGCAAGTGCTTCTGATGATGGGAACCACAGTGGACCCCTAGGTTATGGTTGTGGAACAGAAAAATCTGAGACAGGACACCGGCCATAGTAGCACTGAGGACAGGGCAGTGGGTGTTCTGTCCCTGGGACACTCATGGTAGTGTCAAGGAAGAGACAGTGGATCCTCTCTCTCTCTCTTTTTTTCCCTCACTCCTGAAGCAACTGTTAGGGCAGAAAGAATATGAAGACAACTGGTTAGGAAGACATAGGACAAAGCGAGTATTGTGTGTGTCTTTGGTTGATTTTGCGTTTGGGATCGCTGTGGCTGTGGGACTGAGGCTAAGTAGTGTGTTTCCTCAAGCAGAAGAGTCTGCATTGTCCTTCCCTGTTTATGCTATCGTAGGTTTTCATGATATATAAATTATTCTAAGAACTAAAAACCGTGTCATAAAATCACTCTTCCATTATCATGTTCAGGAACCATAGGACAAAGAGCTCTCCCATAGTGTGTAACCACTAGATGGCGGTCAGCTTTACTGAGACAGAAACATTTTATTAGTAACTCCCAGAACCAATCACTGGAAGCCACTTATCTATTTAACCCTGCGGGATTTTGAAATGTCCTCAAGATATTTGCAAAACACTTACCTTATGCACCTAGAATATAAGCACCTTACAATTAAAAACATATCTTTTTATGGTAGCAGGAAGTGGTGTATGGGAAGGGGGGTCATTATTTTTTTTTTTTAATTAGAGGTGGGGGGGCAAAGGAAAGAGAGAATCTTAAGCAGGCTCCATGCCCTGCTTGGAGCCTGACACGCGGCTCAATCTTACGATCCTAAGATCATGACCTGAGCTGAAATCAAGAGTCGGACACTTAAATGACTGAGCTACCCAGGCACCCTGGGGTCATCATTTTTTTAAAAATTTTTTTATTGTTATGTTAATCCCCATACATTACATCATTAGTTTTAGATGTAGTGTTCCATGATTCATTGTTTGTGCATAACACCCAGTGCTCCAT